AAAAAAAGGAATTTATTATTATGTAAGCATATATATATATATATATTATTCAATCATAAAATATACCTTGTTTATCAGCATATACAATATCCCCTGTGCTATAAAATCCGTCTTTATCGATAACAGCATCTGTAACTTCTTTTTTATTGAGAAAACCCTATTTAAAAGTGTAAAATTTTAGTACAAGTAACATAATTATATTAGTATAATGATTATTATACTACTTACCTTCATAACATTTGGACCTTGAATGCACAATTCCCCAAGTTCGTTGAATCCCAATTCTAAGTGTAAACGTAAAATAATAAATTTTATTTGATTTTAATTCAGGAATAAATAAATAAATATATATATATATAGTTACCACGACCATCTTCTGATAATATTTTAGCCTGAATATTTGGAAGAAGATTCCCACAAGAATCTATTAAAAATAGTTGTTTTAGTAAACTATGAAATATATACGGTAAGTACATCATTTAATAATATAATACCTGGAATTGTACTCTTCATTGTAAGAGAACTTAGTGACGTACCCATTTCAGTAGAACCTTTATGACATAAAATAATGCATCGTAAGACATTCATAAAAGAAGTTACGTTAGTTCAAACGACCTAATTATAAAATTTCTTACCATAATGTTGAAGAATCGGTGTTTTAAACATTTCATAAAATTTTCTTTGTAATTTATCCCTTAGCTGAGTTCCCGCGCTTATAAACATATTCATACTTGATAAATCAAATTGTTGAGCCAATGGATCATTGACAAGTTCAAATATAATTGACGGATAACCAAAAATATGCGTAATTTTATATTTTTGAACTGATTCACAAAACGTTTTCAAATTGAACCCTGGATGAATGATTGTAGTAGCACCCTATATTATTAACGAATAACTCTTAATTAGGGTTGTTAATGGAGCACTCCAAACTATAATAAACTATAAACCACCCAGTTTTAAACTGGAGTGATTTATATGTCTTATTATAGTTTGGAGTACTCTTAATTGACGAAACATTAAATATAGAATTACATACGTGAATTAAGGGTGCATGAAGAATATTATCAAGCGAATAAACGTGACGAACTGGCTATATTTTTAACCCATAATGAAAAATTACTCTAAATAATTATCTAAAACCTGAAAACACTTTAAGAGGAATCCTTTTATATGACTTACGACGACACCCAAAATTATACTATGTGGTCCAAGTTTATCATCTACAACAGTTAATTGAGCCAAAGCGGCAGTTACGTTTGCGTGAGTACGTTCGACGCCTTTTGGCTTTCCGGTTGTACCAGAAGTGTAAACTATATAAGCAGTAGTTGATTTTGCTTCTTCAGGAGTATAAATAATCGGCTCAATTTCACGATCACCAATTAAAATAGAGCGATAAGGTTTATATCCCTTTATTTCTTTATCACCAAACAAAAATACCCTGGAGGTGGGAATTTTTGCATTGATTGAAGCTTCAATAACGACTTCAAAACATTCTGGATGCACGATTAGAACAGATGCACCTGAATCGGTTAAATGATAAGATAATTCCTCTAATGTTTTATATTTTGGATTTTCCACCGTTACTTTGCCTCCTATAGATGCATAGACATAATTTAGGATTGAAAACATATTAAAATTATTAATTTATATAAAATTATATAGTACCAGCTGCAATCGCTCCAAAGAGTATAATAGGATGATCAACCTTGACAAAAAAAAAAATTGATTATATCATCACATGAATAAATTAACGACTTAACTAATGAAACGTTTAAAAAGTACCTGATTATGCGAAAATACCGCCAAAACATCACCACGTTTAAATTCTAACTTATCTTGTAGTCCTGCAGCAAACTTTTTCGATTCATGTTTAAATTTGCCAAAAGTGTAACGTTTACCAGTAATCCCGTCCAGGTAAATAATCTTATCATCTGAAATTTTGTTTGGATTACTAGTCACATATTGATAAATTCCGACTTGAGGAATTTTTATATCTGGGCATTTAGATTTAAAGATCATTTTTATGATTTTTAGTTGGAATAAGGTAACTTCATACTATATATATATTTATTTATGGGGAATTTACAAATAAGGGCCCAAGTTTGAAAATAATTAAACCTTTATTCCTTTCCGAAATAATACAAATTTCAATTGATAAAAATAGGAAATACTAATAGAATATTTATCTTTATGTTAAAGATTTCTATCAGTATGAAACTAGAAAAGGCATTTCTAGAATAGACCCGGGATTTACATATTTATCGTAAAACCAATTGTATGTAATTTAGTAATTTAAGAAAATTTTTTGCGCATGATGTCCAGTAAATTTGTAAGCTTTTAGGTCTAATGCTAAGCTGAACTGCTAATTAGAAGAGATCATATAGAGCCCATTGTTGTTGATCAAACAAACAAAAACGGTCTACATTATGAGACAGAAACATGATTTTTTAGAGCAAAAAAAGATCAACAATCTTGCTATTTATAGCATTCGTTTAAACCAAAATGAAGAATAATTTAGCCATTCTTAAATATGGAAAAAAATTGTTGCACATTATTTTTCCGGATCTTCTTTGCGATCATTGTAGTATTAGGCAATATTATGTATTATTGATAGCCAAGTGCAATTTTCACATAAACACGATTACACAAAATAGTGCCATTAGATTTTAATATGAATGATGAAAAATTAGAATTTTTTATTTACACTATGACTGTGAAAATATGAACCCGCATTTACTTTTATACCCTTTTATTATGAACTCTAACCTTAACACCTAACTTAACTCTAAACAAAATAGGTTCAAATTTCAGAATCATCAGACAATAATGCATTAAATAAATTACAAATTTTACATACGCTACTATATTAGGTTCAACTAATCAGATTTCATAAAGGGTAATATCCCAAAATGGTTCGATATTGTACTTGTATGTCTTTACATTTTGATTAAATAACCATTGATCTTTTTGGATTAAATTCATTAAAACGGTTAAAATAACTGTCATTATTACCTATTTAATTTTGACCGGTCTACTTTGCCATATAAGTTTATATGCGGTGTAATGGTCTTTCTGCATTTGATAATGTAGTGTAAGATATGTTTACTATGTATGGTTGGTTGCTTGACTTTTTATGTTAGTTCGTATCATCTTCGTGCATATGATCGCCAAACCAATTTCCTCGCAATACCTAGAAAAGGAAATTTGCATTTTGCATTTTTTAATACTAGATAGAAGTACAAGTACTTATACACGAACTTGTACATGTACATGTACTTGTATAAGTACTTGTACATGTACTTCTATACGAAAAACAAATATACGATTCTTATTAGAGGGTAAAATGTTAAAAAAAAAAAAAAAAAAAAAAATTTAATAAAATCAAAAGTATACTCAACTTACGCTAGAATATATTATTTCATTGCTTTTTATGATCTTTGCACTATAATTTTATGTCACTGTGAGAGTTATTTTTTGTTTTTTTGTTTTCTTTTCGTCGAATTTCTTGCCGGTATGATGAATTGATAATCAATGATCGTCGAAGGCTGTAGCGAAAGTATTTGAAGATCACATCCCTAATTTAAATTATATCTTTATCGTGACAAGTACCCCAGTGGCACCGACAGATTTTCACTGATCTGCAATCTAGAACATTCGATCACGTTTGTTCAGCCAATCAAAATTCACAGTTCATTACGCGTAAACATATAATTACTCATCGACATGTTAGTATAATGCCTAGTAATTGTAAATTTAGATGCAAGTAAAAAAAATCATTTGTGTATATTAGTTTAGTTGTGTAATCAAAAAGCAAACATTTAATGTTAAATATCTAAAAAAAAAAGAATATATAATATAATATTAAATTTATCAATTGTACCATTACTATTAAATTATTTGTCAGATAACTTTAGATTTAAAAATCCAGGATCGTTGTTTAGACTAATGTATTTCTAAATTTTGTTTTTTAAAGCTATTGGTAATACATTAGGATTAGGCTTTGGTTCACAAGCAGAAATATTAATAGTTATATTCGTTCTCTTCATTGTTAAAAGAGAACTCTACGGAAACATCAACAGAAGATGCAATGTCCTTATTTAATATTTAACCAAATTCCGTCTTTAATTAGTGTTATTTGAAAGATTTAATTCAATCAATAAAAACTTATTAAATTAATAAATTTATCTCTATCACCAAAGCATGTTTAATTTTAATTTTGACTGACGTTCGACAATTGACTGAATTAATAACTCAATGAATGAAAGCTTATTCTGATGCTTGAAATTTTCGATCGATGATCAGATAATTAATCAACGATTTCACCCTCTAATTCGAGCTTTCAATAAATCTTCGTTCACCATAAAAGTATATAATAGATAGCATTTAATTTCTTGACATTAAACCACTGGTTTAATTGTAAAGTATTCTTGAAATTTTAAATATGCATACTAATAAATTAATATAAACTTACTGAAATAAATTTATAAAAAATATCTTCACAAACCTTAAACATACCGATTAAATTAAGAA